TGTGAGGTCATGAATTCATTCCCTGGTACCAACAAAACAAAACAAAACAGCACAGATTTATTCATTTTGTACTTATATCCCTAGAGCTACACTAAACATACTCATAACTTTCTTTAATTCACTTGCTTTTGACTAGGTTACTGTCTCTTTACTGCTACCTATTGTCCCTCTGTCTCCACCCCACCAAATAAAAGATAATGTAACTAGTGACTTTTTTTTGGTACCAGGGAATTGAACTCAGGACCTTGCACTTGCCATGCATGTGCTGTGCTGTTGAGCTATCGCCCTGGCCCAAGGCAGTTTTCTCTACTAAAAATATGGCAGGGATTTCTCATCTTTTTTTTTTTTTTTTTTTTTTTTAAGTGATAGCAAATCAATCTAGGGCCTCATACATCACCAGCAAGTGCTGTACAGATTTATAGCCCTAGCCAGAAGCTTTTTCTCTCTCTTCCCTCCCTTCCTCTCTTAGTCTTTGTTAGAGTCAGTCAAACAAAACAATGAATGTGATATGGGACTTCAAAACAAGATTAAAGGAAATCAATAATGGCTACCATAATGCCTCTGATTATCTTAAAAAATAACTGTCCATACCATCAGACATAATAAAATCAAACAAAACAGAACAGAATAAAGCCAGTTAAAACAGAACAATGAAAGCAATGTGGGACATCAAGATAATAGGAAATCAGGGGCTGGGGATTTAGCTCAGCGGCCTGCCTTGCAAGCAGGCAGTTGTGAGTTTGATCCCTGGTACTGATAAAAAGGAAAAAGACAAAAAAAAAAAAAAGGAGATCAACAATGACTACCATAATGCCCTTGTTATCTTCAAAGTAGCTGCCTATACCATCAGATGTAATCAAATCAAAACAAAATAGTATAAAATCAAAATGAAAGCAATACAAGGCTTGAAACAATAATAATAGGAAATCAATAATGGCTACCATAATATATTTTGTTATGTTTGAAATAGTTGCCCATGCCATCCAGTATAATCAAACAAAACAAATCAAAACAGACTCAAGTCTTTTTCCTTCTGTCCCTCACACTGTCCCTCCCTTCTCCACCCCCACCCTTTTCTTTTGTGGTACTAGGGATTGAATCTAGGTCTTCACATTGAGCTACATCCCTATCATACCTAGCTCCGTGTTACATTTCTTGTCTTTATTTTTGTTTGCACCTAAAGAAGTGGAAAAATTTTTGAGAGAAGGTAGAAAACATTTCATCTTTTTTTTCTTTTTCTGTTTCTTTTTTTTGTGGTACTGGAGGGTTGAACTAGGTTCTTCGCATTGAGCTACATCTATACCCCTTCACTTTTTGTGTGGTACCAGGGATTGAACTCATGACCTCATGCTTGCCAGGTAGGTACTTATGGCACTGAGCTAAATCCCTGGTCCTATTTTGGTTTTTTTGAGATAGAGTCTCCATATGTAGTCCAGGCTGGCCTCAAACTTGTGGCAGTACTCCTGCCTCAGCCTCACAAGAGCTAGGATTACAGGTGTGTGGCACATGTTTTGTTTTGAGACAGGGACTAAGTCACTAGGTTGTCCAGCAGATTAGGCTCAAACTTTCGATCTTTGTCCTTTACCCTCCCAGAATACTGGGATTACAAGTGTGTACCACATACCTAGCTCAGGAAACAAGTCATTTTCAGATCTAGTTTAAAGATAGAGGCTGTCAAGAGAGGGAATTGAGAATGGTGAGGGAAAAGTGGGGGATGACCTTATGGTCTTAGCTCCTTTGGCACTCTCCAGCTGCTTAGAGCTCCTCCTTAATTTTCCTGTATGTTGATGTGGCTATATGCAGTCATCATGTATTAATTATAGGAATATGTTCTGAGAAAAGCATTATCAGTTGATTTTGTTATTGTGTGAACATTATAAAGTGTACTTCTAACCTAAATGGTATACCCTATTGGACATGTACGCTGTGGTATATACTATTATGTTTCATTGTTGACAGAATTGTTTTGGGGTTCGTGAATGTTGCCCTTTCTGAAATATATCACACATATATTGGCCAATATGAGGTCCTGACTTTGAGACCTGATACCAAAAAAAAAAAAAAGTCATATATAAATTATAAGCTACTTAGAAAAACAAAAATAAACATTTAAGGATGACCTATGTTATATAATACAGACTTTTTTGTATTTTGTATTTTTTGGGGGGTGGTGGTGCTGGGCTTGCATCTCACCCTCATTTTTTTTTTTTTTTCCTTTTTCTTTTTAAGATAGGGTTTCTGCTGTGTAGCCCAGGCTGTCCTGAAAGTTGGCGATCTTCCTGCTTCAGCCTCTGAAGTACTGGGAGTATAGATGTGCACCACCCCACACTCAGCCTGTTTCTCTTTTACATGTAGGTGTGGGAGAAGATGATGTTTATCATTCCAGGCCTTCCTCTTGCTTCAATTTCAAAAGCAGGGCAATCTTGAACAGTTCATCATTTGTGAAAGACAGACAATCATGCTTCTCCTATCTACTCTTAAAGTGCTTTTTAACATGCTTTTTAACGTGTTTTGAACAATGTTATTACATGGATAGCTTTGTTACACTAATATATATATTATACACACACACATATATATATACCTTGTTACACTATAATTTGTAAATTTGTAGCAACTTCTATAGTTATGGGAACAAGTTTGCATAGAAATAAGGGGAGAAGGAATTTTTTTTTTTTTTTTTTTGTCTTTTTCATTTTTATCGGTACCAGAGATCGAACTCAAGACCACCTGCTGCAATTCAGGTGCTTATGCCACTGAGCTAAATCCCCAGCCCCGGGGAGAAGGAATTTAATATGAAAGCTGAGTGGTAGAATTGCCCCGCACTTGGGAGATTGAGGCAGGAGGATCACCATGAGTTTGGGGCCAGCCTGGACTACATAGTGAGTTCAAGGCCAACCTGAACTGTACAGTGAGACCCTGCCTCAAAAAACAAAACAAGCAAAAAACAAAAACATAAAAAGTTAAGCACTACAGATAAAGTAAAAATTTTCACCCTAGTCTAAGGGAAGTCAGCCATTTACTGACATTTTGGTGATGGAACTGTTGGATGCAGGGACAATAAGTGCTGTGTGGCTACCAAGAGAGTTAGGACACACTCTCTGTCCTCAGCTTACAGTCTTGTCTTTCTGTGTCTACTTTGCTGCTCTATTAAGGAAATTGGGATTTTGATTAAGTTTGAATAGTGATTATTCATCTTTTCCCCTTGTAATTGATGCTAGTGGGGAGTAAGTATTATGTTGGGACCCAGTGAAGGATTTTGGTTCAATCAGTGGAGGCAGAGATTTTTTGAAGAAAAATGGGAATGCCATCAATGCCTTAGAACTGCCTAACACTTAACTGCAGCTATGGACATCAACAGTTGGCTTGCTGTGATCTTTCTGTATGTCTCTAAATAGTCCGTGCTAATTTTGTGGCTGTTGATCTCTAAGGAATGATGTGGCATATGATGAGACTTTCCATAGAAATCATAGCTATTAAGTAGTAATTTGAAATACTAATATCAATTCTTTTTTTTTTTTTTTTACTGGGGATCGAACTCATGACCTTGTGCTTGCCAGGCAGGCAGTTAAGCAGCTGAGCTAAATCCCCGGCTAAAATCAGTTCCTGATTATATGAATGTTCCTTGTTTTGTAGATTATTTTAGCTCTTTTGCCATCTCAATTTCTTGGTTCTTGGTACTCTGAGAATTGAGTTCAGTGAATTATTTACTGTATTTGAGAGGTCTGATATTTGTGTTCTTTTAGGAAAACAGCCAATTACACTAGAAGAGAGTCTTAATGATGAGTTATAATTACATCTACAAAAGGTCACTGGTATTCTAAGATACCTTTTCAAATGCACACTTTCACTTTGTTGAAGCCCCTTGTACCAAATTGGGCTACAGGTATAAAGAGAGTTCTGAAATGCTGGAGCAGTTTACATGTCGTGGATAGCGTCAATACTAAAAATGGTAAGCAGTGGTAATGGCACGTATAGATGCTCACCAAGTTTTGGCATCTGACCTAATGAGTATATTTGCATGTATGGGTGTGTGACAAAAAAAAGTTTGTTAGAAAAGTGTTGCTCGGGGCTGGGGATTTAGCTCAGTGCCATAAGCACCGGCCTTGCAAGCAGGCAGTCGTGAGTTCGATCCCTGGTGCCGATAAAAACGAAAAAGACAAAAAAAAAAAAAAAAAAAAAAGGAAAAGAAAAGTGTTGCTTATCTTGAATTAAATGTTTTTCCTTTAAAAATAATTTTTAGGTTAATATTTGTAATGGCAATGTATTTACATAATTCACTACTCACTGCATAACTACAGGAATGGTGGCCTATATCTTCTGGTATTCCAGCTACCCAGGAGGCTGAGGTGGGTATATTGCTTGAACCTAGGAGTTCAGAGCCAGCCTAGGCAACATAGTGTGCCAGCCATCTAGACCTGTACCATTACAGTCACTTAGATTGTTTTTTTTTTTTTTTTCAGCATTGGGAATTGAACCCCCAGTACTTTCATACTGAGTGACATTCACAGCCCTTTTTATTTTAACACAGGGCCTCCCAAAGTGCTGGAGTTACAGGTGTGGGCCACAGATCCTGGTTGTCCAGGCTGGTCTTATGGGCTCAAGTAGCCTCTCATGTCACTGGGACTACAGGCATGAGCTTTGAAAATTGTTTTTTATCATCATAGAATCATGGGCAGTGATTAGATGTTCTACTTTTTTTTTTTTCCTCCTTTCTGTTTAGGACAGGACAGGATCTTGCTATGCATTTCAGGCTGGCTTTTAGTTTATTTTGTAGCCCAGGCTAGTCTCGAATTTGCAACCTCTTGAGTGCTGAGATTAACAGGCATGCACCACCACAGGGAGCTAGTTGCTGCACTCTTGCCCATACATCTTTGAAATCATTGTGTTCACCTATTTTAATATGCAGAACGGGTAGGAAGTTTTTGTGGACATGAAAGATTACTGTAAATATAGGGGTGCCACAGAAATTTAGGAAAGTCAAAAATAAAGGAACGCTGATCTTTCACGTTCCTGTGTGTGAAGACTGTGACTATTCATACCATTGTGTGAGATGTACCTCCCTAAAACTTTATTACTACATTGGCACATGACTTATCTGTCATTTTGGGGGAAGAAAATAAACTGAGGCTTTTTTTCACTGTGGATTTTGGTTTCATGAACTAAAAGGCATTGTATCCTGAGGAGCCTTGAAACAGACTTCAGACTAGAAAATTCCTGGTAGTTGATATCCTTTGACAGTTGCGTATTCTTTTGGTGGCTACAGTTCAGTGGGTTAACTGTACATAATTTTCATTTCTTGGTACTAGAGGTTGAACCTAACAGTGCTCTGCCACTGAGATACATTAAATTTTGAAACAAGGCCTCTCAGTTGCCCAGGCTGTGCTCAAACTTCAGATCCTCCTGCTTAAGTCTTTGTAGTAAATGGGGTTATAGGCACATACCACTGTCTATAAATTATGAGGACATGAGAATTTGGAGACAACAGTGGAGTCAAATTTAGCTTATTACTTCCAGTTAAGTCTTTTCTTGCCAGGAATGGTGGCACATGCTTGTAATCTCAGCTCTAGGGAGGCTGAGGCAAGAGGATCATTGCAAGTTTGAGATCACTTGGGCTACAAAAAATAAGCTCAAGGCTGGCCTGAACTGCACAGTGAGATTCTGTCTCGAATTCAGGACCTCAGGCTTGCCAGGCAGGTGCTGTGCCACTGAGCTAAATCCCCAGCCCTAATTAATTTCATAAAAGGAAATATAGCCAGATATGGTGGCACATTCCTGTAATCCCAGCATTCAGAAGACTGAAGCAGGATTGTCATGAGTTCGAGGCCAGCCGGAACTGTGTAGCAAAACTATGCCTCAAAAAACAGACATGTAGGGGTCTGGGGATTTAGCTCAGCGGCATAAGTGCCTGCCTTGAAAACAGGCAGTCCTGAGTTCGATCCCTGGTACTGATAAAAAGGAAAAAGACAAAAAAAAAAAAAAAAAAAAGCTATTTTCTTTTTTTTTTTTTTTTTGAACCAAAAATTGAACTCAGGACCTCATGTTTGCCAGGCAGGTATCGTGCTGCTGAGATATACTCCTGGCCCTAAAAGTTTCTTTTTTTTTTAAATTAATTAATTAGTTTTTTTAAATAGTTTCGGAGATCGAACTCATGACCGCCTGCTTGCAAGGCAGGTGCTTATGCCACTGAGTTAAATCCCCAGCCCTAAAGTTTCTTTTTTAAAAAATGGTATTTGGGATTGAGCCTAAAAGTCCCAGGCTTTCAGGGAGGGGGATGAGTTTCCAATTTTTTTTTTTTTTTTTTAGTACTGGAGATTAAACTCACGACCTCTGGGTTTGCCCAAGCAGGCATTTACACAGCTGAGCTAAACCCCCAGCTGCTAATTTTGAGACCAGTCTTGTTAAATCAGGAAGTTGCCCTGGGTTGGTTTTTTTTTTTTTTTTCCCACTTTTGCATAGATTTTATTCCTGATGCCTGACAGATTCCTTCCACCCCTGAAATGAGTAAATAGGCTGCTCTGGGAAGCCTGGACCACTCTGGCCACTTGGGGAGGGAGCAAAGGAAGAGGCAGGTGGGGCGGAAGGCTGTGTGGTTCCCATCCGCTTCTTCTTGAGACAAGGATGCTGTCCCTTACTCCTCTCAGGCACCTGATCCCTTCCAGAAAGAAAAAGAAAGAAAAAACCCTCCAGCACTGAGCTGGCTCTGAGGGGGAAGGAAGGGACTACAGTTCAGGGCCTCAGGTGAAGGCGTGGTGGGCCAGGGTCACTGTTTCTGCTGCAGTGCTTCCTTCCTGGCGGGGTTCTGCAGCAGCTGCATGTCCATCTCATCCGCCAGCAGCTGGCTCGTAGCGGACTACAGAGCCTTGGATGAAGCAGTTCTTCACGGACAGCATGTGAGGGTATTTCTCGGGGTCCGTGACACTGATGTCAGCTTGATGTTGAGATGCTGGTCCACAAAATGGAGAGTTCCGCAGATGCTCAGGTCATTCTTCAGTTCCACGACCACATCCTTGACCACAAGGGACTTGAAAAAGGAGTCCCCGGGTTGGTTTTGAACTTGTGAGTCTCCTGCCTCAGCCTCCTGGAGTTCTGGGGTTACAAGCATGTACCACTGTGCCCTGCATTCTCTCAGTATTTGATGGCACATGGTGGTGTGGCAATGTAAGCTGTAATGTGCAGTAATCACAGCTTTTTTGATTGTAGTGTATTTACATAAATGCAGATTTGGAACTAAGCCTCACCAGATTATCTGAGAAGGTTGGGAAGGATTTATAAATATAGTAAGACAGATTTATTTATTGTGTGAAGGAGCACCAAGCTGTTTTAAGGAAAGGATCTCTGTGGATTCGCCAGATAGTCCTGGTTACATGGGAATTCTGAATTTTAGGGAAATTGGGCATACATTCCATGCCAGTTAAATATTAAAACATGACAGACTGATTCAGATACCATAGAGTGAAGGGGAAACAAGGCTTTATATTTTTCTTTTCTGTTTTTTTGAGGCAGAATCTTACTTAGTAGTTCAGACTGTCCTTAAGTGAACTCACAATAGCCCAGCTGCCCTTTAACTCTCGGGAATCCTTCTGCCTCAGCCTCTCAAGTACTGCATTATGAAAAAAAAACTTTTAGGGGAAAGGTATGTCTGAACAGACATATAAATTTTTCCTTACTGAAAAAAGTTCTTATAAGGGCTGGGGATTTAGCTCAGCGGCATAAGCGCCTGCCTTGCAAGCAGGCAGTCGTGAGTTCGATCCCTGGTACCAATAAAAACGAAAAAAAGACAAAAAATTTAAAAAAAAAGTTCTTATAACTGGTAGACAAGTATGGTTTAGTGAGAAAAGTTCCTCTGGTTGGTTTTCTTAAAGTTGGATTCCACTGTATAGGTGACTTAAATTGTGGCATTAACCAATCGCTTAATACTGAGTTATACATGAGAATATTTTTTGCTTATGGCCTAGAATTGAAGAATGTTTAAAAAGTAAATATTAGCTATGTCAACTTTGGAATGTAACTTTATGTTATTCTTGTTGGTTTGTTTCCTCTTTATGTAAACTGTATTAAGCAAGTAAAATGTGCACATTAATATACAGCTCAAGCCAGGTATGGTGCTGCATGCCTGTAATCCCAGCAGTTGGGAGATAGAGGCCGGAAGATCATTGCAAGTTCGAGACCAGCCTGGACTACAATGTGAGCTCAAGGCCAGCCTAAACTGCATAGCAAGATCCTGTCTCAAAAAAAAGAAAGAAAAAGAAAAAAAATATATATATACACACATGTATGTACATATGTATGTATCTCAATAAATTTTCACAAAGTGATCATATCTAAATCGTATGTAGGTACTGTGCTCATCAAGATATAAAACATTTGTTAAGGAGAAAGTTGTGTATTTCCTTCCCTTTCTGACAAAAAAGATATTTTTTATGCCAATTTTATTGTGAAATATAGTATTTTTTCCCTTTTTTTAAATTCAGCTTTTTTTTTTTTTTTAAATGTATGGTAGCTTCCAATTACCAAGTTATCTAAGTGATGATAGTAAACTGACTAGAGTGATAGTTGTGTAGTGACCAGTAGATGCCAGTTTATAGCTGCACAAAAAGTGGGTCACTTAAACTCTCAGTAGCCTCTGGGGGCAGAATGAGTGATCACACAAACAACAAGAAATTTTTGGAAAGGTGCACATGTCTTAAGAGGGAAGCTGTGTGATTTTTCAATTCTAATGCAAAATTTAAATTTTTATCATTTGAACTGATAAGCACTTTTTAGATCATTGTAAAATGCTAAAACCAACAAAATGCTAGTCTTGTGAAGGAAGGTTTCTTGAACACCATTTTTATTCTTATGACAAGTGGACACTTCTAGTATCAGAAGAAAATGATGCGTACATAATGTCATGTGCTTGCCAAAAGTGGTTGCCAAAGTCTACCAACTTTGGGGAGCTTCAGGGTTCTTTTAGGGGAATGTAAGGGAGATGATTTTTATTATTTTAGTTTTCAAACAAAGTAAAATTCATTATTTGCTGAATACACTTGTATGGTAGACTGTTAATTTATATACATTATAGTGGTTATATCTGCTGCATATCTATGGCCCAGATAAAGCCCATAGATTGATTTCTCCTAAAAATGCAACAGTTATGTTGCTAGATTATTTTATTTTGTTTGTACTTTGTTTTTTGGGAATTGGCATTTTAAAATCAGGGTTTTCTCCCCTTTGGTCTTTTTGAGACAGAGTCTTGCTATGCATTTCAGGCTGGCCTTGCGCTTACTTTGTAGCCCAGGCTGCTCTTGAACAACTTAAAAGGCAATATGTATTTATTTATTTTGGTACTGGGAATCCAACTCATGACCTCACCTTTAACAGGCAAGAGCTTGAGCCACTGAGCCAACTCCCCAGCCCTTAAAGTCAGTATTTAAACTGAAGAAATTGTGTTTTATTTAATGAAGTTGAAAGTGACTCCTGTGTACATCGTGACCTTAACAGTGTTGATACTGTAAGTGAAGTTCACTGTCCTCTCTATGCTAAATTTATTGGTGTTTTATGGTTCTCTGTGTGTGGCAGGTCCTGGGGATTGAACCTAGGGGTACTGAACTATGGACCCATACTCCCAGCATTTTAAAACTTTGTTTTGAGACAGGGTCTTACTCAGTTACTCAGATCAGCCTCACACTTGGGATCCTGCTGCCTCAGCCTCCCAAGTAGCTAATAGAGGCATGTGCCACTGTGCTTACGTACATGTATGTCTTTTTGTTGGGTATATAAGTAGGAATAGAATTAGAACTAGAGTGTGCTATTGATCAGCTCACTGCTACTGTCAAAAAGTTTTCTAGTGGTTGCACACACCTGTAATTCCAGCATTGTGAAAATCTGAGGCAGGAAGGTCATCAGAAGGAAGGCTTCAAGCCAAGCCTGAGCATTTTAGCAACTTAGCTAAATTCGATTTAGACTGTCTCTCAAAAAATAAATAAAAGGGCTTGGAATATAGATCAGTGCCCAGACCGTGGCTTCTATAGAAGAAAACAAAACTCAAAAACTCCAAAATGTTTTTTAGAGCAGGATATGGTAGCACTCGTCTGTAATCCTAATTACTTGGGAGGTTGAGGC